GAGGGGGACTGGGGGGTAGGGTCCGGGGAGTGGGTCTGGGGACACTGTGCATCAGGGCCATGGTGGGTGCTGTGTGCGTGGAGGTGACAGCGCTCTGCGGTGGGGGCAGAGGAGGGGGACCCGTTAAAGAGGAGGAGCTGGCAGCGGCGAGCTGGAGATCCTGCTGTAGGTCACCCTGAAGGGCAGCAGGAGGAAACTCATGGCATTGAAGTTTTTGTGGGGTAGGGGGTCTGTTGGCAGTGTGGGTGGGAGCGCGTTTGGGCTTGGGGAGGAGGCTGCCAGAGCGGCCCTTGGTGCTGAGCTCTCCCGAGTCACCTCTTTACCCTTTCATCCTTGAAGGCCGTCTCGCAGAAGCTCCTGAGATCTCCCGGTGCCTCTCCTCACTGCCTGCGGTGCGGGCCCGGCTTGTGTAACCCTTATGGGGTGTACGGATGGCACCGTGGGCGGGCGAGTGCTGGCCATGTCACCATGGCAGGGTGCAGGACCTCCACTAACTCGGGTAACCGGCTTTTAGATGAGCCAGCGTGCGGAGGAGACCTGTGCTCCTGGCTTGGTGCGGACCTGCTGGGTTCGCTAACGTGCCGCTGAAGTCCTGGTCCTGCTAGTGAGGCGGATTTGTGCTCCGAGCGCTGCACGGGTCTGCGCAGCTGCGACTGGAGGTCCCCGCTGTGCTGAACATCGTGTTCCCCCCCGGGGCCAGCAGCCGCCTGCCTCCGCGCTGGAAGCAAAGGCAAAGCAGTTGCAGTGAATGCGAACGTCCTCCTTCTCTGGGGGAACATCTCTCTTGCCTGCTCCGGCCAGTGGTGGGATTAGGGGAGCGTCCGACCCTCGTGGAGGGCCTGCTGACAGGCGGCTGTGTTTGAGGCATCTCTCCTCGTCCAGCCTACCGGCTCTTGCTGGGGAGCAGGGGTCTGGAGGCTCTCCCTGCGCCCTGGCCCTGTTTGTCTGGGCTGTGGACATAGCCTGGAGGAAGGAGCAGAGGAATGCGGAGCTCGGATCTGCCTCTTCCAGTGGTGGCTCAGTGCAGCTCGAACTTGAGGATTGTTTTTGCCTTTTCATTACCGTCGTCCTTCTCAAAGCTGGGGAGCTGACAGCGCGAGGCTGCAGCTGGCTGAGAGGGGAGAGCAAATCCTGAAATATGCTGTGGGGCCAAAATATGCGTCGTAAAAAGAAAAGTATTGTATGTGTAGGGAGGAGTCGACCCAGAGTCCTCAGAGGCAAAGTTTGCTTGTGTCTTGGGGGTATGGGATGTTGTATCACCTTGAATTTGCTGCTGTACGCACCGGCTCGTTGCACAGCATGAGGAGCCACAGTCAGACTCTGCAGCTTCTGCAGCCTTTCCTGGCTGGGTGATGATATTAAAGGTGCCCAGAGCGACACACGACATTTGAGGTTGATAACATCAGCAGCCAGCAAGATCTTGGGGAGCGTGAGATGTGCTGAGGTTAAGGAACAAAATGCTTCGGGCCACTGTTTTCCTTGCCTGGCTAGTTACTGGGAATAGCGCTCAATAATAGCGGAGGCGTTGGCAGAAGGATAAAAGGACAAGGAAGGGAGAATTGCCTTCCTGAGATAAGATGTTGAGTGCCCACAGCTCAGATGCCTTCGAAGCAGGATTGCAATTAAACCATTAAAACGCCTTTCTGTTTCAATGCAAGTCGAAGTGACTTTTGTGCTTGCTGCCCCTGGAGCTCTCAGCGTGGTGAGAGGCCGGCGAAGAAGATGGTTGAGAGAGATGATTTACCAGCATCGAGGTAGGGGAAATCGTGGTGTGCTGCGGAAGCAGCTCCCTCCTTGGGTTTTTAGGCTCCTTGAACTTTGCCGATGCAGTTTGCATAAGGCGTTTGGAGATGGGGAGGGTGGGAATGTGGCCAAGCTTAGTGCAGGCTCCGTCTCCTCCATGTGACCTGCTGCTGAAAAGCTTTTCAAAGAGGAGCCTTAACTTGTGCTGGTGCTCAGGGAAAGCACCAGTGTGCAGTGGAAGAGCCGGTGGGAGCCCACCAGCGGCCTGTGCCCAGCTTGGACCTGGGGGAGCATCTCAGACGTTGCTGGAGGCACGTCGGCCCCGTGGTGTTGTGAAGAAGTTGGCGTCCTCTTTGCTGTTGGCAGGCTGCGTCGGGGGCACCCAGATTGAGCCCGAGCTGCGCAGCCGGCCTGGGGGATCGCTGATATCTTTGTTTCCTCTCTTGTGGGTGACTCGTTTAAGGTGAAAAAGTGAAACAGCAGGAGGTAAGAGATTAAGAGATTAAATATGATCAACTCTGGATTTAAGTAGGAGCTGACGCAGTCAAGGTGAACGGAGGGGTAGCCTTTCTGCAGAAATGGGGTGGTTTTTCCCCAAGAGCTGGGGGTGCCTGGCTCTGCTGAGGCTCCTTTTTTGCTGCAGTTTATGGGAAATTGGGCTGTCAGCAAAATAACACCAGCTTTGGTCGGAGCGAGGTGGTTCTTTGGCAGGGAGTGGTTTAAAGGCAGAGGTGAGTGATGCTGAGCTTTCTACTTTCTCCAGCGTGCACCTTGATGTTGCTGGGGGGGCGTTTGGAAACGCTGAGGCTTGTGATTCGCCCAGGTTGAGTGAATACGGGTGTGGGGAGGAAGGGAGAGCTCAAGGGCGCAGGTTGTGCTCTTACAGATCCCTCTGTGCTATCACCACTATGTCTGGGCATCTGCTCTTCTGCCTCGCTGGAGACCGTAGCTGCCCTCGACAGCAGTTGCTTTCCGAATCCGCCTCAGCCGCTCGGTGGAGCCTTAAACTCCCGGTCGAGCTGAGCTGTGGGTGCCCTCAAGCAGGCAGGACACATCGGCCATGCTTAGAGATGGGTGGCAAGGCAGGGGGGCTTGTCCCTTTCTGTCACTTCACCCAATCCCCGTTGCTCCTTGTCGTGTGGGGATCACTGTCCAGCGGGCTCCTTCACACCTGGGTGCCGGCAGACAGACAGACAGACGCTCTGCAGACAGATCTGCTTACTCATGCAGCACGCCTGGAGTGTGAAATGGGCTAAAGCCTCGAATTTGCTTTTGGGGAGGTGATCTACATGGCATCTCCGTGCTCCAAGAAGCCGGCAAGCCCATGGCCGGTGTGTTTGGGTTGGTGCTGTGCCCCTGCGGATGCTGGCGCCGGAGGAATCCCGCTGAGGCTGTGCGGCGGGGAATGCTAATGCACAGCGCTGCAGCTTTGCAGTGGTACCGAGCCGGAGCCGCGCCGCTGGCTGGCACCGGGGTGGCTGGAGATGTGAGCAGGGGAAGGCTGGGGAGAGGGGGACAGAGCCCCTGGGGAGCTGCCCTTCCCTGGGGAGGGCTGGACGCCTTCTCCAGAGCATCATTTCTGCTGCTGCTGTTCATTGCAGTTGCCTGCGGAGCCGCTCTCCTGCTGCCTGAGCAGTGTCTGACCTTGCTGCAGTCTGCTGCTTCCCTGCCCCGCGCACAGCCCCTTCCCAGAGCCGGGTTTTCTGCCCCATTTTTCTCAGTCCCGAGTCATCTCGAGTCCCTGCAGCTCTGCCAGGCCGGGTGCTAACAAACCACCTTCCCCCTTCGGTCTGTCAGGGGGACGAGCCTGTCCTTGTTTGCACCGGCAGAGCTCCTCGAGTCGCTTGTTCTTCCTCTTTCTTTATTTTCATCCCTTAGACTGGCTGCTCATAAATCCTCTGCCTTTATGTGCTTGTCCCAGGCAGTGGCCACCACCTCCTCTCCTGGTTGTTTAGCCAGACGCCGTACACTCGACTGTCTTTTGCTTCCTTGCCCAAATCCTTCGTTCTTTTGCTTTCTTGCACTCCCTGCAGTTTTTCCTTCTCATAACGAGATGCCTGGGCCGAGATGAGTTGAAAGGCTCATCCTACTCTGTATGGGCCCTGGGATGGGTCTGGCCTTCCTTGGGGTGCAGGAAAACCCTAAAAAGTGAACACGTTGCTGTGGTTCAGGCTGTCCTACCCTGACCCACGGTGAGAGCAAACCACAAGGGTGTTTTGAGCAGAGGTGATTTACTGGGGGCTGGGAGCAGACAGGTCACTGATGGTGCTGGATTAAATGACAGAATCATAATTATTTCTGTTACAAGTTGCTCTTGGGTTCTGCTCTTCACTTTGGCTTTTTGGAGGGTCTCATTGCTGTCCAGAGGGGAGGCTTGTTCTTGTGACCCAGCACTACTCTGCAAGGCCAGAAGATAACTTAATTAAGTTATTGAACTGGAGAGCAGGGAGAAAGGAGATTTTTGGGGTCTGATGGACACAGGCAGTCTCCAAAACAACGTGCCAGGGTGTGCAGCTTTTGCTTCTCTGTTCTCGTCCTCCTGCAGTCCCATGAGGCAGGCTGGGTTTCCACCCAGAGTTGGGAAAGTAGTTGGATATTCGTTCTCTGCAGTCTTCAGAGGCATCTCTTGATGGAGCGGGGGCCGCCCATCTGAGCAGCGCTGGTTCTCCTGCGAGCCTTGCAGTGCTGGGTGAGAGCCTTCTTCCGATGTGAGCAGCCAGGTCTGGGGCGCGGGAGGTCTGCTGGCAGCAGAAGTGCCGTGTTTTCTTTAGGCCTTTCCCAAAATGCGAGATTATCTTATGCTAGGGACCAGCCTACCACAATACTTTCTTTGGGACCTGAACAGTTTTCACCGTGCTTTCCAGCCCATGCGAATGTTGGAGCCTGTTCTTGTGCTCCCTGCTAGAAGCTGAGGCTGGAATTTTTCACTCTGGAAACCAGCTCTTTGAGGACAGGTTGGAGTTGATCCTTTCGGATAACCAACAGGCTTGACGCAGGACTTTGCAGGTGAGGATCCTCTCCCCGTTGTTCCTCTGAGGAGTCGGTGAGCGCCTCATCCCAGGTTTTTGAGCCGGTGAAGGTGTGGGGCTCGCTGAAGAGCTTTGCTCATGCCTGGCCATGTCTTTTTATCATCAGGAGTTTCCTGCGGGCGATGTTCGCGTTTGCAGAGGGCTTGTTACGTTTCCTGCTGGGCCCTTTGATCAGGGCTGCTTTTCTG